TAGGAATGTGCCATGCACTTAAAGTCAAGGTCAGGGGGAGGGCGCCAAGATGTGAGGAGCTCTAATTTGAATGCTCTATTGGAGGAGGGGCAGTCATTTTGGTGCAGAGTGTGTGCTGGGGTCGAGGGAGTTAAGAGGTCAGAGATGAAAGAAATAGTGTAATTATGCTGGTAACTTCGACCGGAGATAGTGACAGTAGAGAGGTTGCGGATGCTGGATTCAAAGTAGGGGCAGCGTGCAGCCTCCAGTCGCGCTTTTTGTGCTGCAGAAAGGTCAAGGGTATTATATCATGTTTTATGCTCCCGAGCTTAAATCAAGCTCGTTCAATCTCAGCTCGAACCGTGATCTCTTTGGCACTGCCATCAATTGATGTCACAGTTTTGCATTTTTGCAGACATCAATTCAAATCTTTTCACTTTTGTTTTTGCGTTTACATATATTGCGATGACCCACAATCAAAGCTGCCTCATCAATTCATGTCACCCCTTCCTCTTCCTCCTCGCCTGCCCTTGCCTCAGGAGGACTGGCATTTGTCATGTGTGTGATTGCAACCCTGCCCGCTCTTGTGTCCTCTGCAGAGAGATGTTGGAATCGAGCTGGATAACCGTCTGGATGAGGGCGGCTACTGCTGCCAGTACTGTCGCCGTGGTTACCGCTTCTGCCGCCGCTACTACGAGCCCCTGGGTGGCTTCAACCCCTGGCCGTACTACTACCAAGGAGGCCGGGTCATCTGTCAAATTGTCATGCCGTGCAACTGGTGGATCGCCCGCATGCTCGGGAGGATCTGAGGCGCCGAGCGTGCTGTCTGGTTTTGAATCTGTTTACGTTGTAGGTGCAAATTTTTCCTTTTGATAAATATTCAAGACCACTCGTGACACCAAAGCAGTCTATTGCAGGCAACTATTAGGCAGCACTTCTAGTCAGTGTGAGTCAGTGTAAACAGTCTAAATGGTGTTTGAAGCATTTTGATTCTTTCTTAAAAAGCATTGGTTGTTTACAGATGTCTAGTTTTCTCTCCTTGTTATTTGATCCTGTTCAATGAACACATTTAGTTTGGAAACTGAGCCACACTAAAAAAAACACACACACACAATCTGTCCTTACTTTACCTGTTATGTCATGCATTCATTTTTACTTGTATGTGTACACATATGAAAAGCTACAGCGAATACAATGCAACAGCAATTAATTATGTACTGTATGTAACCATCTGTGTGGTGCTATCACATTAAATATGTAACAAGACATACACTTTATTAGGAAAATCATCTAGTGTAATTTAAAGCAACAGCTCTGCCATGTTCCATTATTGCATTATTATGTTTTCGCAGTTTTTGTTGACATCTGTTGTACTTTATGGTTATTATTGCCGTCCTGTCTGCTATTGTTGGTATGCTGGACTGCGTGACATTGAAAAGTGTTCTTAATATTCTTATTAAAGTGGCAAAATTGTTATTAAATCACCACGTACCTCCAAATAGTGTAACCAAATGGGAGCTTGTGAGCCATTAATGCTTAGAGGTAATTTTTCCAATTTACAAATTTGATCTTTTTGTGCAGTTTTCCCAACACACTTATTAATATAATAAGCATGAATTGAAGCTAAACTTGTGTTTTCCCTTTTTCTTTGGCAATAACGATTAAAAGAATGTTAACTGTTGTTTCGCCTTTCCGTTCTGGCTGGTGATCATCTTTGTAGAGCAACACAATGCTCTTAAAGCCAAACAGGCTTCTTGTCAGAAGCACTTTAGTTAATTTTTGGAAACTAGAACTAATCAAAATGTGAAACGGTGTCTCAATATGTGAAAGTGATGCATGTTATGTGTAGCCCTGCATAAACTGGGACACCTGATAAGCCTGTTTCTGAGTGAGGTAACACAGCTGATTGAGAACGTGGCCTGCACATGAAAGTACTGAACTGGGCGTAGTAACAGTCTCTGGGAAAATGTTGTATTGAGTTTCTGCTAATGCAAACCAAACATTTCCTCCTGCTGCAGCATCGCATTAAAGCGGAGAAACACGAGCCATCTGGTATCACGATTTAGCTTAGCACTTATCAATTTATTCTTGACAAATCGTCTTCAAAACAAGACAATGGCTATTTTCAGCATTTTCCCTGCAGGAAAGCTGCAGGAAACGGGCTGCATACCTCCAACTTCTCAGCAAGGTAACCAACTTTCACTTAGTTGTTGGCAAACCCGTGCCATTTGCATGATTAAGCTGCTCGCACAGTGATGGAAAAGACCAACTATTGCCTGATGTCTTTAAACAGCAGTTTGTCTTGTTGCCGGCAGATTTCTGTGAACTGCAGTATTAAAACGCATTGGCTATTACCACCAACAACTACAGGTGTTATCTTAAATACTGCAATACTGAAAATGTAATGCAGTATATCACACCTAGTAAACTGATTGTCTTTCCAATGTCAACAATAGATGTACGAGCTTCAAAAAGCCAAATGTATGGCAGAGCTTTTGTATAGGCTTGCGTTAGATTGCACGGTTTTCGTGCTTAGTGAGTGTTTATGTCTGACTTTCTTTCATAGCCTTTTTCCTGCAGATAAAAGTCCATTCTGTGCCCTGTACTCCTTTGGGCCTAAAGGACAAAGCACACAACAGTAAAACAAAAACATCAAGAGAAACACATCCAAAAAATGAAGAAATACACAGTCAACAAGGAAAATGCTACCTAAAAAGTTGCTACATCAGAAGTGCTCTGCTCTGCTTGATTTTAATAAACAGCAACACTGCTGAAGAGATCAAATCAAGAGCTATTGTGTCGCTATTATGCAAGCGACTTGTGCCACCATACCAAATATATCACAAGAGCTTCATAAAATATGTACTTAAGCGCTGATGCAGTGGCACGAACCAACTTCATAGATCCAAACATGGACGTACGCACAAAACCAACTTCAGAAAATTTGATTATGTGAGGAAAATATTCACAGTTTAAAAATATTTAAGCAAAAAAAAAGAAAAAAAAGCGAATTATTCCAGCACGCCAATACAGAAACACGAGTCTAACCGGCACCGAAAGTTCACGACTCGCTCCAAGTATTTTCGTCACTCTTTTCTCTGTTATTTGTATCATGTAAAACAAACATTGTTTAATTAAAGATTCACAGACCTCAGCAGTCGCGTCTGATGTGCTCACTGATGTGCTATCCTCCATTGTTTTCACCACTGTTGCAGTCTTCAAAATGCTTTAAATAGTGCTGCTGTTCAAACATTTTCTTATTTGCCGAGGCGATTTTAATCTCTAACGCCTCATCTCAGTGTGTCGAGCTGAAATAACTCTCATCTGTAACTAAGCAGGCGAGATAGGCATTCGTAATTGATGTTCTGTCATCACAATAACAAGGCGCATAAATGCCCAAGAGTATTCAAGCTATGTGAGGTACTCAGAAGTTAAACAGGGAGACAAAAATGGAACACTCGTGTTGTGGTAGTTTGCTTTGAAGCCCTCTGTATGTTTCTTTCTTTTCCTTCTTTTTTCCAATTAAAATTTCATTGTACGAATAATCTCCGTTGTCCTATCATATGAAACAATGTGATTTCCTTGAAAGACACTTAATGCCCGGGGGGTGTTTGTCGGAAAGCTGATAGCAGTATGGGTTTTGAATCCAACTAATGCAATTGAAACAGGCAGGTCTCCTTCTCTACTCACCATTACTCCCGTTCCTCATTAGCAGAATTTGTTAGCATCACATCTTGACAAGCCAAAACAGACATATATCCTTTTATTGTTCTGATTTTATAACCCGAGACTCTCCTGTGTATCGGATGTGTAATAATGCTTTGTTTACACTAATATAAAAGTATCTCGCCTACAAAGTAAATATAGATCTTGACTCATGTTGGCTCACTCTGATGATAATGTCAAAGATATCAATAATAATTGACAGTGAAATGGATTTTGTTGAAAGAGAGGGCGAAACTTGCTATATGTAAATGTTTTATGAATATGCTCACAAATGGAGTTCAGACTGAAGCCATATTGTTATTTTTGAATCAGTAATGTCAATGGCCCAGAGCAACATGTCAAGTGAAAAATACTGGCATGAGTTAACAAATACAATAATTGCAAACATACTTCAAATAAACTGACAAGTGTACTGCAAAGCCCCCGAGGCGCTTCTGAAAAGTTCATAAAATCAGTGTTTATATAATTCATTTCTCACTACTTCCTGCTTATCACATCAAATAGGCATGTGTTTATTAAAATGGATGCATTCAGCATTCAGCATTCGGCATGCTGCAGCTGCCACTGCTGTTGTTGTTGTTGTTGTGGAGCTACCGCACTCACTGTGTTAGAAAATAGTATAAAGTGTTATTTTTTCATAAGATGCTGTTAGTTGTCAGTTGTCTATCTGGCGAGGTCTCTGAGGACTCTTTTGTGTAGTCGTGAGAGTAAATTGCCATGGAAGCCCAGAGAGTCGCTCTGAATGGGATGGTTCACCCTGACTGGAGAGGCTGATACAGATATTACAGCGAGCTCCCAGAGAGCTCCTCGTGCCTGTTGGGACAAAAGTCCAATATTAACCATGAAAGTCAAATTTTAAAGTACAGATGTCTCACAATTAAAACTCATTGTGGAGGAGACCTTGAATGACACCGGATGGTGGGAATACTGCCGACGGAGGATTGGGAGAGCAAAGATTTTAAAAACAAATAAACGGGATAACAGTCTAGTTGATGCCTTCTTATCCACATTTTGTTGCCTAGTACACACATCTACTTGTGTTGTTTTACTTTTCCATTAGACAGTCACATGATGTAAACAGTGCAATTTTAATAATTTGTACTAATAGAATATTTTCTGTTTGAAGTTAAAAACCTAAGAAATTACAAACAGGACAGACTGCGGTGAAATTTTTGCATTTTCACAGGAAAATGTCAAAATCCCAACGACTCCAAATCAAATGGTATTTGATTGTTGGCTTTTTTTAAAACCCTGCATTGAGGTTAATTTGCATTCCTACTATCTATGAAGAGGTTTAGCACTGCCTGCATTAGATATGAGCCAAATCTGCGAGTGTCTGACAGTGAACTCCTTCCCTGTAGACCAGAATTAAAGAATATATCGTTTCAGCCTAAGCCCTGCACTATTTTTTCTCATGCATTTTATATAGGAAACCCCGCCTCCAGCACTTGTTTATCCCCGTTTAGATGGGGAGAGGAAACAAGATCGACTGCTCTGCAGGATGAACGGAGATACCGAGCATTTACCAGGTTATCACAGTTCAAAGGATTTTTGCCTACCTGGCCCGAGGAATGGCCACTTCCATTGAAGCTCACATGCGAATTAATTCTTTTTGTTACTTATCAAAAAATGCAGGGAAACTTCCCTCCCAGCTGCTTATTTTCATTTCAAATAATCGCTCCTTCGTTTCCAGACGCAAGTTGCTATTCTGGGGTGGAGGAGAGTGAAAACCAATGTATGAAGAGTGTCTGTATTTAGATTAGTGACCTGAAGGAATACTTCTCTTCGATCCAGACTGAGGCTCGGCTCTGATGAGGACACGTGTATTACCAGTGCCATCTTGTGTAGACAAAGGTGTACTGCTGTAATATCAAAGGTTAGGTGAGGTATTTTCAACACTTTTCTTTTTTTTTTTTACATCTTAAAACACGCTGTACCTCGCTGTCCTTAATACATCCACATCTGCTTCTGTGGAGTAACGTAAAAATAAAAATGGTTTCCATTTGAATCTAACTTTACCTGCATGTTGTTAATAAATTGCACAAAGCTTCAGCGGCCATAAGACAGCAGCCATCAACTCCTTTTCTTTGTAATGTTGCAGTCAGTCTGGTGACCTGATGGTTAAATAAGCTCTCCCTGTACTGTTCCTGCTACAGGCTGGAGGCACAATAATGTCAGCCGTCATCCCTCAACTGCTCCCACTGTGAGAGGCAGCATGG